TTTTTTAAAAGCTAACTCTAGTTTATCCTGTTAAACCAAGAAAACTTAGATAATATTTCCTCTTTATGTGACAATGATAACCATATCCAGCTCATTAAGGAGATATGTGTTTTCAGTCTTGAAAGTTGAGAAGAGGGGAGTTAATTTTCAGAACTCATATATCACTGGTGGGGTTTAGTAAATCATATTCCATTCATGATTATAACCAGAACTATGGTAAGTTATCTTTTTTGAACTCAGTAGAAGAAAACCTATCTCAGAACCCGTAAGGTACAGTAGGAAGGGATGCTGGTTAAATATTTAGTACATTCCAAATGGTGGATTTTGGAATTAAGAAACTGACTTTATTGAAACAAGGTTCCCAGGGGATTCTTTTGAATTCACAAATACAGTGTTTAGTTGGATAGAATGGGTTAGGGAGCAGGTGTTAAGGAAGAAGATGAATTATTCATTATCTTCTTCAATTATTAATTCAACTAAGCCTACTCTCTTAACCTTGCTTTTATATTTAATCACCTGGGGAGCAATTAAAAAATCCTGATGCTCAGCCGACACTCAATGACAATTACTCTAGATTCTGACTCTCTAGGTCCAGGTATCAGCACCTTTAAAAACTTCCCAGGTGATTCCAATGTTCAGGGAAGTTTGAGAATTGCATTAAGGGCTAAATATCAAGGGCCCAATTTAGTATAATGAGCTTACATTTCATCTGTCACACACTCATTGAACCTTAGTGACAGCTCTGTGAAGGAGTGAAAGAGGATGAAATTCTGTCTTTGTTCTTGATCCATTCCCACAGATAACTGTTTAGTTCTATCAACCAATGACCACACTTTGATTAACTTCACTTTACTTCATTTCTAACCCTGGCCTGTAGCCTCATTTAAGAATCTGAATCTGTTGTTCTAATTAGAAGTACAGAAAGTTGGAACTGGAAGGAACTATAGCAATCATCTTGTTCAATCCAATTTCACTCACAAGAAAACTGACACCAGTGAGGATTATTGATTTGTCCAGAGTCCCATAGCAATGTCCCATAGGATCCCATTCAGATCCCGCTGTAGAAATTAGGCTTAGTTCTAAAGCCAGTGTTGGTTTTCTCAGCCTCCTTTGTGTCAGACAATATATGAAATCTATGACTGAACCTAGCTGGAACATTGTGTGCTAATCTTTTATCTTTAAGGCTGATAAACATTCTGAATCATGACATAAGTCTTCATCTAAGGCTAAGATCAATGATCTCAGACTTTAAGATCTTAATATATCTTTTTTTTTTTTTTTACCTAGATATACACTCTGAATCGTGACACAAGTCTTGATCTAGGGCTAAGATCGATGATCTAAGACTTTAAGATCTTAAGATTTTTATTTTTATTTTTTTTTTACCTATAAGTGAAACCAAAGACTATAGAATTTATCAGAGAAAAGCTAGGGACAACTCTAGAAGCCCTAACAGATTTCCAAGCATAATGAAAAACCTACAACCAGGAGAGAATAAAAGAGAAGAATGGCATCTCCTAAGAATTAAATGCACATAAAAAAAGTTCCAACAAGGTAAAAAGGAAACCAGTAGAGTGGGAAAAAATATTTGGCAATGTTATAATTGATAAGGGACTCATATGTAAAATTTATAGAACACTCCAATACCACAACAACAACAAAAAAAGGTAAACAACCCAATAACAAAATGAGTAGAAGATATAAATGGACACTTCACCAATGAAGAAATTTAGAGAGCCAACAAACATATGTAAAAATGTTCAAAATCCCTACCTATCAGAGAGATGCAAATCAAAACAACTATGAGATACCATCTTACCCCAGGAACAATAGCAAAGTCCAACAGGGCAGCAAACAACAAATGCTGGCAAGATTGTGGAGAGATTGGAACTTTATTCACTGCTGGTGGGAATGTGAAATGGTACAACCACTATGGAAGGTGATCTGACGCTTTCTCAAAAAGAAATACCATTTGACCCTGGAATTCCACTAGTGGAAATATATCCTAAGGAAACCAGAGCTGCAACTCAAACAGATGTATGAATGCTTGTGTTTATTGCTCCATTATTAATAATAGCAAAGAGATGGAATCAGCCAAGTGCACAAAAACAAATGAATAGATAGAAAAACTATGGTGTATTCACACAATGGAATATTATGCAGCACTGAAAAACAATGAACTTGTAGAACACTACATAACATATGGGAACCTGGAAGACATTATGCTGAGTGAAATATCTGTCACAAAAGGACAAATACTGCATAACACCCCTGTTATAAAATAGGATTGACGTGGGGGGTTGGGGAGAGAATAGGAAAGAGAGATAATGAATACTGCATTGAAGCAGATGAGGGGAAGAACTATATGAAAGAAATATGTGATTGGGCATTATATGTATGACAATAATCTGGAACAAGAAGTCAATTGCAAAGTGGACTGAGGAAGGGTGAAAGGAAGGGGGGAGGAGAATATGCAACAATGAATGGTCAAAAATCCAAACTTTCTGTAAACTTTTGTTAAAATCACAGTACAGATTTTGGGTTTTTTTTAAGGGAAAAAAAATCTCAAGATACTAATTGATCTGAAGAATCATTTGGGGTCTTTAAAGCCTCACAGGATTCACAACAAATGTGTAAGTCTTCATTTCCCGTAGAGGTACCTTGGAGCTGTATTTTTAATAGACAAATTTCTGCTCAGCCATAAACTACTGTTTAATCAGCCAAGTTTTAACCTTGAGTAGCTATAATTTTTCAAGAGGGTATTTCTCTAAGAAATGGACTTTTAGTCTCCACATCATTTTAATTTTTTTTTAATGGGTGCGGCAGTGTGGGATTTTTCTATCAAACTGAGTATACTCATTCTTCAGGAACCTCAAATATCAGCTGCTACTGGAACAATCTGAAATTAGTAAGGAAAAGTGAAAATTTAAGCAATACCCAAATATCTTGGCCAGGGTAGTCTCAATTTTCTTGAAATCTGGTCTCTTTTCAGGATCTTCCTCCCAACAGCTTTTTACAAGTAGATAAACCTGGGAGAGAAGGAAGAGATCAATTAGCTAAGGTGAAAGCTGTTCAATCAAAATAGAAATCCTATCCAGCTCTCTTCTATAAAAAGGAGTCCTGGTGGTGCTGTGGTTACAGTGGTCGCCTGCTAACCAAAGATCTGTGGTTCACACCTACCAGCCACTTAACAGGAGAAATACATAGCATTGTGCTTCTCTAAAGGTTTATAGAGTTATAATGTTTATAATATTATGAGATTATTCTTCTCTTTCTTATAGAGTTGTTATGGGTTTGATCAACTCTGTGACAACAGACTTGGATTTCATCAGTCTCTTCTATAATGGGAGTAATTGTATTGCTAGGTGCTGCCAAATCAAGTATGACTCATAGCAACTCTATGAAAAACTCTGAACCCTGTCCTATATTGTGCCATCCTCATCATCGCTGACATACCTCGAGCCCATTGCGGCAATCACTGTATCAATCCATCTCATCAAGTCTTCCTTCTCTTTCACTAACCCTCTATCTTTCCAAGCATGATGTCCTTCTCCAAGGAATAATCTCTCCTAACAGCATGACATACATAAAAGATGAAGAAGATTTACCATCTTTGCCTCCAAGAGCATTCTGGCTGCATTTTCTCCAAGACATATCTGTGTGTTCTTTTGGAAGTCCATGAGATATATTCAGTGCTCTTTTCCAATACGCATCACTCAAAAGCATCAATTCTTCTTCTGTCATCCTTTTCATTGTCTTTCTCTAAGATGCATAGCAAATGATTGGAAAGACTATGGCCTGACAGACATACCTTAGTCTTCAAGCTGACACCATTGCTCCTCAGTAATTTGAGAAATTCCTTACTGCAGACTTTCCCAATGTAATACAACTTCTGATCTCTTGACTGCTAGTCTCAAGTGTATTGATGTGGTTTCAAGTAAGATGAAATCATTGACAATTTCAATCTTTTTTTCCATCTAGCATGATGCTGCTTATCAGTACAGTAGTAAGATTTTTGTCTTCTTGATGTTGGAATAGAATCCATATAAAAGAATGTCATCTTTTTAAAATTTTGTTTTATATTGGTTTGCTTGAAAAGTTCAAACACATTATATTTCATACAATCATTCCCGTGCATTATCTTTTATAAAATCAATCAGCATTGGACCTTGCCCTGCTGGATCCTTCCCATTTCCTTCACTCTCTCCCTTCACCCACCAAAGTGTATAACCCTGTGGTTTTGCCACTACCTATCCTTACACCTTTGCTCCCACCTCTTCCCCCCTCCGTGGGTACTCATATATGTTTTACTAGTTATCCTTCTATTTTTACAATAATGGTCTTACACAGTACTTGTCTTTTATGAGACGGAATTAGTTCATTCAGCATAGTACTGTCCAGTCTATCCCAAGTTATGCAGTATTTTTCAAAATCATTGCTCCTGAGTGCTGCAAAGTATTTCATTGTGTGAGTGTACCACAATTTCTCAGTCCATTCAGTTGAGGTTGGACATTTGGACTATTTCCATCTTCTTGTGATGCTTCTATCTCCATTTGTGTTTCAGTTCCAATTTCCTTGGGGCATATTCCTAATCGTAGAATAGCTGAGTCATACAGAGTTTCTGTCTTCAACATTTTTAGGAAACACCAAACTGACTTCCAGAGTGGTTGCACCATTTTACAATCCCACCAACAGTGTTATGAGAGTTCCTATGTCTCCACAGCCTCTCCAACGTTTATTGCTTTGCTGCCCCACTAAACTTTGCCTCTGCTACTAGGGTGAGATGGTATCTCATTGTGATTTTGATTTATATATCTCTTATTGCCAGTAATTTGGATCATTTTTTCATGTGTCTGTTGGCCATCTGAATGTCTTCTTCTGTGGAAATCCTTTCCATGTCTTTTGTTCATTTTGTAATTGTGGTGTCAGTCTTTTTCTTCTAAAGGCCCTGGAATGTTCTATAAACATTTGTTATGAGACCTTTGTCTTAGATGATATTGCCAAATATTTTTTCCAGTCAGTAGGTTTCCTTTTCATCCTGTTAGAAAAATATTTTGATGAGTACAGAGATTTAATCTTCAGCGATTCCTGCTCATCAATTTTATCCTTTACAGATTATGCATTTCTGGCTGTATTTGTCAGTCTCTTTATACCATAGACTAGGCCCTCTAAGCTTAGTTCCAGTTTGTCTCTTATGAACTTTATGGTTTTGGCCTTTACTCCCAGGTCTCTGATCCACCTTGAGTTGATTTTTGTTTATGGTGTGAGAAGTAGATCCTGTTTCAGCTTTTTGCAGGTAGCAGTCCAGCTTTGCCACCACCATTTGTTGAAGAGGTTGTCATTTCCCCATTTGATAGGTTTTGTTTCCTTGTCGAGTATCAATTGACCATAGATAAAGAGGTCCGTTTCTGGGTTCTAGACTTTGTTCCATTGGTCTATGTAAGGCTGTCATCTTTGATCTTCTGCAGCAAGCACTTCAAGTCCTGCTCCTTTTTCAGCATCAAGGTTATATCACCTGCATAACACAGGTTGTTGATGAATCTTCTCCAATTCTGATGCCACACTCTTCTTCATAGAGTCCAGATTCTTGAATGATTTACTCAGTATACAGATTGAATACATATGGAGAAAGGATACATTCCTGATGTACACCTTTCTTAATTTTAAACTATGCAGTGTAGGGTGGATGGACAGCACAGGAGAGGGAGACTCTGAATGAGATGGATTGATACAGTAAAAAGGGTTGGTGTGTCAGAATTAGTGAGACTGGCTCAGGACAGGGAAGAGTTCAGAGGTGCTGTACATAAGGTCATTATACATCATAGGCGACCAAATGGCACATAACATACTATGATAGGTTTGGAAGCAGGAGTGACATCTACTTCCTGAATAACATGCCTCTGAAAACTCTATGAACTTTTATAAATGTTGATAGTTAGAGAGGGGCATCAGGCCTTTTGTTCATAGGGTCACAATGAGTTGTGCTCAACTCGAAGACAATCAACAACAACAGTCTGTATAAGACAAGTTATACTGACTGAAGGCTTGATTCTACATCCATAGTTCTCAGTCACAGTTAATATTAGAATTACCAGAGAAACCTTGACAACATTTATCACTAGACTCTACCTTAGTGTATCCTGATTTAATCAGTCTGTAATAGGGCATACATTGTATTCTCAGATTTAGCACAGGTCCAAGTTAAATTTTAATTTCAACAACTATAAGGTATCATCTCACCCCAGTAAGAGTAGCAAAATTTAACAGAACAGCAAACAACAGCCTCAGAACCCCATAGCAGAGAGAGCTGTGAGTCAGTTACCACATATAAGCATGCTAAGTATTTTGCATTGTTTTAGCTGAAATTAATTTTTTTTTAAATTGCCAGAGAGGCATGGCCTATGGGATAGAAGTGCGGCTCCCAAGTGTTAGGACACCAGAGATAGCGAACTTTCTAGCTCTTGGTGCTTTCAAGGCAAGAGGTCTGTACTTCTTTGAAAACAGCTCCTAGAAATGAAAGCTCCTTCTTTATTTCCAAGTCCAGAACTATTGAGGAGGATGACACTTTGGTAAAAGGCTTTAAATAACACTAGAGTTTACTCGGAAAGGAAGGTTCAGAGAGGAAGAAATAGATTTGCAGGAAGGAAGACAGGATTGGAAAAAGCACAAAGGAATATAAAAAAGGCAGGGATAGAAGCAGTTATATCTCAGAAACTTAAGGCTCTAGTCTGTCTTGAGTGTAGAATAAGAAAAGAAAGATGAGAATAAAACATGGCTTGTTTGTGTTCCACAGAACTGGTTCTGAAACCTATCTGTCAGGCTGGCTCATGAATTTAAGAAAAGTGTTTCAATATTTTTTTTTCCTTTTCGTTCATTCATGGCTGCACATTTCCCTCCGTTATCCCCCACCCCAGTTTTATGTTTTGGGAAAAATAATCATTAATTGTTGCATAATTTCCTCCCTCTCTCCCACTTTTCCCCCCTGTCCACTTTACTATGCACCTCTTATAGTGGACGATTGTCATACAAATAATGCCTAATCATATATTCCTTTTAGACTGTTTTTCCCTTCATCTGTACCCACGTAGTGTCCATTATTTATCCCCTCTTTTTTTCATTTTTCCTCAACCTTCATGTCAGTCCTGTTTTATAATAATGGTGTTATGCAATATTTGTCGTTTTGTGACTGAGATATTTCACTCAGCATAATGTCATCCAGGGTCACCCATGTTGTATAACATTTTATGATAAGTGCTTTGTAATATTCCATGGTGTGAATGTACCGTAGTTTTTCTATTCATTCATTTGTTGATAGGCACTTGGCTGGACTCCATATCTTCACTATTTTAAATAATACAGCAATAAACATGGGTGTACATTTATCTGTTTGGGTGGGAGCTCTGGTTTCTTTAGGGTATACTCCTAGTAGTGGAATTGCTGAGTCAAATGGTGTTTCTATTTCCAACTTTTTGAGAAAGCGTCTTACCACCTTCCAAAGTAGTTTTACCATTAAAATGTTTCTAACTTTACTCTTTAAGAAACAAAAAGGATTTAAAAAAAAAATAGGCCATATATATTTAAAAACAGATTTCTTACTATCTTTTTTATTAGAAAAGAAAATTAAAAAATAAAAACATTTTTAGAAAGCCATGTAAAATTCTAAAACTATTACATATTCTTTAAAAGCTTCTGCGAAGATTATTTAAACCAAACCAAACCAAACCAAAAGCTATCACACACACAGAAAAGGCAATGAGAAAAGACAGTACTTCAGAGGGTGATGTTCTTGGTACTTGTTACTTGATTAGTTCTGACTCATGTTAACACCACGTGTGCAGAATCAAATTTTTAAAATTCCATAGAACTTTTCAAGGCTGCGACTTCTGGGAAGCCAATTGTCAGGCTTGTTTTCCCAGGTGTGTTTGGGTAAGGTAGAATAGCTGAATTTTAGGCAAGTGCTGAAGTGTTTACCTAACCATTTCCACCAACAAGGGATATATTACAGGGGAGATACAGAAGGGTAAACAGT